TGCATAAAAGTTGGGAGTTTTGACATTCATTTACAGACTTCTCCCAAATATTTTCACTCAGGGAAGAATGTGAATTTAAAATATCTCTTATAGGGGCGCCTGGGTGGCTCAGTTGGTTAAGTGTCTGCCTTCGGCTCAGGTCACGATCTCAGGGTCCTGGGATCGAGTCCCGCATTGGGCTCTCTGCTCAGCGCGGGGAGCCTGCTTCTCCCTCTCCCTCTGCCTGCTGCTCCCCCTGCTTGTGCTCTCTCTTTCCCTGTCAAATAAATAAAATCTTAAAAATAAAATAAAGTTATCTCTTATAGGGGCACCTGGGTGGCTCAGTCGGTTAAGCGTCTGACTTCAGCTCTGGTCATGATCTCAAGAGTCCTGGGATGGAGTCCTTAACCTTAACCCTGTGGGCTCCCCAATCAGTGGGGAGTCTGCTTGTCTGTCTCCCTCTACCCCTCTCCCTGCTCATGCTCTATTTCTCTCTCTCAAATAAAATCTTAAAAAAAAAAAATTGTTGGGGCACCTGGGTGGCACAGTCGGGTGTCTGCATTCGGCTCAGGTCATGATCCCAGGGTCCTGGGATCGAGCCCCATATCAGGCTCCCTGCTTTGCAGGAAGCCTGCTTCTCCCTCTCCCAGTGCCCCTGCTTGTGTTCCCTCTCTCGCTGTGTCTCTGTCAAATAAATAAAATCTTTAAAAAAAAAAAAATTTGTTAAAGTATCTCTTATAAAGTTCCAAAAGGCACAGCCATACACAAAACAGATTGGTATGAAAAAATATTAAATCAAAAAGCTCTTTCCCCTTTTAAAAAACATATCCTTACTAATTTTTTATCCACTTTATTTTAGGTTTGGGAGATGTTTGTTAAAGTCTTCTTTATGAATGTTTATTTGCCTTTTCATATCCTGTAGTTTTGTTTTATGAAAGTTGCCGTTCTACTACAAGAAGCCCTCAGCTTGAGGGGGTGCCTGAGTGGCTCAGTCGTTAAGCGTCTGCCTCCGGCTCAGGTCATGATCCCAGGTTCCTGGGATCGAGCCCCACGTCGGACTCCTTGCTCAGGGGGAAGCCTGCTTCTCCCTCTCCCACTCCCCCTGCTTGGGTTTCCTCTCTTGCTGTCTGTCAAAAAATAAATAAAAACTTAAAAAAAAAAAAAAAAAAGAAGCCCTCAGCTTGCACAGTTCCTATACGCAACATCTTCAGGTAACGTTTTAATTAAACACTAGTCCCTCAACAACACAGTTCAAATTTCACTTATAATGGTTTATTAACTGTGAGTAAATGTATAAAGTGCAAACTTTGCAGCTAGCTCTTCAGTCCACAAATCAGTACATAACAGATAAAGGATATGATCAGTGAGCAACTGTCACTTCTTTCAGTCTGTTGGTGATTGGACATTGCACACCTGTTTTTCAGTTCAGAGACAGAGAGTAAAGCATGTGCTTGTGCTGTCTTGTCTCCCAATGATAAACCCATGTGACATTTTAGAAAAACAGATATTCAAAAGACAGAATTGGCCAACAAAGATAAAAGCGCAGCACAGAAACTAATGTGATAATGCTGGAAGTGAAATTTGGGTCACAGTATAAATGAAGTTATAGAAGAAATGGTAAACTGTCAATTGTTAACGTCACTGCTGTTTGACTCTAGATATGCAGTCAGAAGAACTTAATGAGGGAAAACATCAATATAAATAAGTGGTTATGACGAATGTCCCAGAAGAAATGACATAGCAAAAAACTTCACATTAAAGGAACTCTTGGAGGTACTTTACAACATTGAAAACTCAAATGATAAAATGTCAGAAGCTGATCCAAACTTAGAAATATGACAATTTGCCAAGGTATAGAAGAAATATTCAATCCATATAAGATGTACAAAAGGAAGGCAAGCACTCTTGACTTTTTTTCTTGATAAGTTTTTTTTTTTAAGATCTTATTTTTATAATTAGAAAGAGACCTCCTGTGCACAAGCCATATGAGCCAGGGGAAGGGGCAGAGGGAGAGGGAGAAGCAGACCCCCGCTGAGCAGGAAGCCTAACAAAGGGGTCAATCCCAGGACCCAGAGATCATGACCAGAGCTGAAGGCAGGTGCTTAGCTGACTGAGCCACCCAAGCACCCCTCTTGACAAGTTTTTAAAAACAGAAATAAGGGACGCCTGAGTGGCTTAGTCGGTTAAGCATCTGCCTTCGGCTCTGGTCATGAACCCAGCGTCCTGGGATGGAGTCCCACCCACATCGGCTCCTTGCTCAGCAGGGAGTCTGCTTCTCCCTCTGCCTGCCGCTCCGTTTGTGATCTCTCTCTGTCTGATAAATAAATTAAGAAGATTTTTTTTAATTTTATTTATTTATTTGACAGAGAGAGAGAGAGAGTGCGAGAGAGGGAACACAAGCAGGGGGAGTGAGAGAGCTGAGCAGGGAGCCCAATGCAGGGCTCGACCCCAGGACCCTGGGATCACAACCTGAGCCGAAGGCAGATGCTTAACAACTGAGCCACCCAGGCGCCCCATAAATAAAAAAAAATCTTAAAAAAAACAAAAAACAGAAATAAAATACTAATTCTCAAGGTACAGTTTGTTTCAACCAAAATTTTTAAAGACCATGAAACAACTGTAATCTTTCCCATTAATTATTAAGCTTGCTTTGTACAGTTTCATCTTGCATGGCCACATTTGCAGTAACTCACTACCATACAGTGAGTTCTGCCTATATTTGGTTCCGATTTCTCTACATCTTTACCAGCACATTATTGTCTTTTTGATAATAGCCATTCTAGTGGGTGTGAAGTGGTATCTCTTCGGCTTTGATTTGCATTTCCCTAATAACTAATGATGTTGAGCATCTTCTTATGTACTTACTGGCAACTTGTACATCTTCTTTGGAGAAGTATTTATTCAAATCTTTTGCTCGTTTTATTCTGTTTTTTTTTAAGATTTTATTTATTTATTTGACAGAGAGAGAGAGACAGCAAGAGAGGGAACACAAGCATGGGGAGTGGCAGAGGGAGAAGCAGGCTTCCCTCTGAGCCGGGAGCCCGATGTGGGGCTCAGTTCCAGGACCCTGGGATCATGACCTGGGCCGAAGGCAGACGCTTACCCGACTGAGCCACCCACTTTTGCTCATTTTAAATTGGGTTCATCTCTTTATTTTTCACCTGAATCTATTTGCTAGCTCATCAGATTTTTTTTTTTTAATAGGTGAGTTAAGCCTAAATCAAAAAGGTGACTACACAGTCAACAGCAACAGGCTGGACTATGTGGAAATTTTAGTGAGTGTTTTGGGTGGAATATGGGAAAAAGGAACAAAAGCATAGCTTAACTCCAAAATAACTGAGCAACATAAAGAACCCAAAGCGGAACTCAGTGGATATAGACCATCTAAAGTGAGAGCAGGGGTGAAACAGAGTGGTAAGGGTGAAAAAAGGACTTAAGGGTAGGTAATATACAGCCAGTCACAGTGTAAGTCAAAAGATCCTATTCAAGACCAAAAGAGAGCTGATGTCATTTTATGGTCATTCTTGTACTGAACTCTCCAACAGAAGCAACTTGAGAGCAGGGACAGCAGTTTAATCATTTTTGTAACCTCTTAGCAGTAAGATGAGGAATGTATGTTGGTGTATTCATCACTCCTCTGTACATTCTTAGATTTGTTAAACATATGTTCAAAGAAAGGACTCTGTAAGGATCGGGACTGGTAGCTCACTTTCAAAGGAGTCAAGCTGTCAAAGGAGTCAAGCTGTCTACTGACACAACATGAGGGTAAAGGCTAAACTGATTATGGGAAGAGACAAAACCCTGCCTCCTGAAGTCTTGCACCCCAGGCTAGCATATATAATGACTGGGGGCAAGGGATAGTGACTGCAGTCTCTCACATTGGCCTTGAGCTTTAAAGTGCAATTTCACAGCTATCATTCATTCAACAGGCACTTCCGGAGCACACAGGACATACTGTGCTGAGCGCTAGACACAGAAGAACAGCAAAAGCAAGTCCCTGTTCTGTCAGGGTTCATAATCCAGTAGGTTCGGTGTTGCAAGGATAGAGGTGATCAGCCTAGCTGTGGGAATAAGAGAAAGCAATGCATTCTGCCTGGGTCTGTGGGAGAAGGGAAAGCACCAAAAGGTGACATCCGGGCTGGGCCTTGAAAGATGCGGGAGCGACCCACAAGGGCCAATTCTGAAGTGTCACTGCTTTGTCCACAGGGAAGAGAAAGTCTCATATCAGCCCCAGCTGACTCCTATAAAAACTCTTGAGGCAGATGTTCTCATCAGTAATCACCTCCATTTCACAGAAGGAGAAACTGACCCACAAGGCAAAAGGCGAAGCCCAGGGCCAGGCTGAGTGACAGGGGACATGCCAGGTCCAGAATCGAGGTGGACAGACACGGCACAGTTTCGAGCTCTGCCCGGATTCTGAAACCTGTAGAGCACCGGAATGTGGCAGGGGTCTGGACCCGGAAGTTGGAAAGAAGTCTAATATGAGAGCGACCCCTCCAACCATTTGCCCAGTTCTCTCAGTTACGCCCTCTGTCCCACGCTTCTCAGTCACTCACCCGCCGCTAGGCGAAAGGAAGTCGGTGTCGTCTTCGTCGCCCGCACCGAACATCGCGGTGCCTTTCGCCCAGCCGCAGGGGGAAAACAAGAGTGTTTTCGGGCCTTTCACCGCCGAGGTCGTGAAATGCCGCGGCGGTGTGCTGCTTTCCGGCAGGACGAACTCTCGCAAGGTGGCTCGGCTGGGAGGGGTCTAGACTCCGGAGAAGGTGGGGGGAAAGGCAAATGGCAGGACCTGGCGGGCACGCGCGCCCGTGACGTAAGGCTTCTCCAGCCTGCAGAGGCAGTGAAATCCGAGGGAGCTCCGAAATCCTGCGCAAGGATTGGCCGACGAGGCGGGGGGCGGGGCAGGGGCGGGGCAGGGGCGGGAATCCGCGGCCTCGGTGGCGGTCGTGGACACGTCGAGCCCGGTAGAAGTGGAGGGGGCTTCCGAAGAGTCGTGGGGTGGTGACGGGTTAAGGTTCTAAGAGGGAGGTGCCGGTGGCGAGACTCGATCTGGAAGGTAAGCACCCACCGCCCCTCTCACACCCCTGGCATGGGCACAGTCCTTTCTCCCCCGGGACAAGGACCCTCCACGCCACTCTTCTCCGCTCTGCGAAAGGAGAAAGGGCCCCGGACTGGCAGTCTGGAGAACTGAGCTTTCGGCCGGGCCCCTACAGTGACATAGCTAGAGTGACCTTGGGGCTGGGTGTTCGGTGCCTCACTTTCCCCGTCTATAAAACGGGCCTGTCGTCCCTCTCGCTTGTCCCCTGTCGCCGACCTCGCTATTTATTCAACGGGCTCTTTGTCCAGTGTTTCTCTGTCCCGGCTGCTCAAGAAGCTTTTAGACCTCAGAGGTCATCCAATTCAATCCCAGTCTCCTCATAATCCCAGAATTTGCAATAGGGAAACGAAGTAATAAGCACTTGGATGACTAGTCCGAAGTCACACAGAGTAAAGGGTAGACTGGAGCTGGATCCCTAGTCTCTTGATTCAGGACTTAGGAAGCTGATAGGTGAACAAGAACCTTATCAACTCTTAAACACTGTGCGTCCTTCCAGAGTGGTTATTGCTAGACTGTGGCATAAATCTGGAGAGAATTCCCCTCCCTATGCAGGTGAGGTGCAGAAGAGCTGGGATATTCTGGGGGTGAGTGATGGGAAAGAGAAAACTTCTAGGGAAAATCCCCAGTCCCAATCTTGGTCTGGGTTTTGCATAGTCTTCTTGCCACAGACCTAAGTCAACATCAGTTGTTGGGGACTTCTCTGTCTCCAGTTTCCACCTTCTCTGTATCTTATATAAGTATTTCTTTGGTTAACGTGGTATAATTTTTGAAACAATCTCTGGGTAAGCTTGGTTTAGCCAAGGTGTGGATAAGCAGATAATGTTTCACTGTAGCATCCGTTTCCATAGATCTCAACTGGAGTCGTTTCACTCGGAGCTTCTCTTGATCAGGTTAGCACAACATGTGTCCCTTACCTGGATGTTTTAGTCTGTTAACACGAAATTGAAGTGAAGTGGTTGGTAGTAATTCACCTCCTAAAGAACTTTGTACTTCTTGGTACTTCCCTTGTTCTGCTTGTTATTATAGTTCGTGTGCTTGTACTAAATTGTAAGCTCCTCAAGGACAGGGACAGTTTTATTCATCTTGATGTCACCTGTGTCACAGAGCACTATGCCTTCTTGACCATAATGGATTTTTATTCTTTGTTAGACCGAGTAATGGAATTCATCCTTATTCCCATTCCTTAATTTATGCTCTTGGGATTTTTTTCACGTGTGACTCAGAGAGCCTTGCAGTGGCTCTTGCCTTCCAGAAAGATAAAAATGCTGTAGTAGCTGTGAAATATCAGGGTTGCTTCGTCTCTTTTGTTAGTTGAAGATGATTTTACTATTGTTTAAAGCTCTAGGGGAGGGCGCCTGGGTGGCTCAGTCGTTAAGCGTCTGCCTTCAGCTCTGGGTCATGTGGAGTCCTGCATCGGGCTTCCTGCTTGGCGGGAAGCCTGCTTCTCCCTCTCCCACTCCCCCTGCTTGTGTTCCTGCTCTCGCTCTCTCTGTCTCTGTCAAATAAATAAATAAAATCTTTAAAACTAAATAAATAAAGCTCTAGGGGAGGGGGAAGAGGGGGATAGAATAGCTGGAAGTAGTATATGTAACTCTGATTTTTGTTAGTAAAGTATTTCTCTATTAAACTGAGAGGGCGGTTGTCTGCTTCCTGTGTCCATTTTACAGATTAAGATGGTTAAAGCAGTGAAGGCTGACTGTGAAAACAGTGATGCAACTGGAATCTAAGCACTAGAACTGGAATCCTTTGCTGTAGAATATGAATATGAACTTAGAATATGAACTTGGCTATCTCTCAGGGAGAGAGAGAATGAACTGCCTAAGTGACATCACTTTTTCTAACCCCTTTCCCCAATACTGGTCATTGTCATTCCAGCACTGAAACATCTGAATAGTACCTTTTAAAAAATGCTAAAAGATCATTTGAGTGCTTATCCGGAATTCTTGAGTTGGGGATGTTTTCATCTAGTGTATTTAAGTAGCCTTTTTAGATAAGGCAGGCACGTAAAATCTGGATCAGCATTTTTGGCAATTGGGACACCACAAATATGCATGCCCAGGTCACCACTGTGGGAACACAGCTGCTAGTTCTGATCGGCAGTATGAGAAAAGGGAAGACAGTGGTGAGGCTTCCTCAGTCGTGCAGAATTTGAACTGCGGGATTAGGTACATCTAAAAAGCCACTGTCTGGGGCACCTGGGTGGCTCAATCGTTAAGCGTCTGCATTCCGCTCAGGTCATGATCACAGGGTCCTGGGATCGAGCCCCGCATCGGGCTCCCTGCTCAGTGGGAAGCCTGCTTCTCCTTCTCCCACTCCCCCTGCTTGTGTTCCCTCTCTCGCTGTGTCTCTCTCTGTCAAATAAATAAACAAAATCTTAAAAAAGATAAGAAGCCACTGTCGGGGTGCCTGGGTGGCTCAGTTGGTTAAGCATCTGACTCTTGATTTCAGCACAGGTCCTGATCTCAGGCTCCATGCTCAGGGGGAAGTCTGCTTGAGATTCTCTCCCTCCGCCTCTGCCTCTGCCCCTCCCTCCACTCGTGCTGTCTCTCTCTCTCTTTCTGTCTAAAAAGTAAATAAATAAATACATACATAAATAAATTTTTAAAAATGGAAAAAAATTTTTAAACAAATAAGTAAAAAGGCACTGTCTTCCTGAATTAGAATATTGGACCAGGAATCAGGAAATCTGAATTACCATTCCAGCCCTTCTAACTCGCTCTGAGCTTAGGCCAGGCTTCCTAAACACTTTGTAAAAGGAGTGGTTTAGACCCAGGTATCTATTAAGTACTGCTGGGAATACAGAGATAAGGAAAGCACAATCCTGATCTCAAGTTTGAGTTAAGCATTTTTGTTTGTTTTGCTTAAATACACAGTTTTTAATTGTATTTATAAAATTATTTTATATTTAAATAAATATAAAGATTACCCAAGATTAACCAGTAAGTGGCAATTTTAACAATTCCTTTCAAATTATCAGCAATTTCGGGGGCACTGGGTGGGTCGGTCGGTTAATCATCTGCCTTCGGCTCAGGTCATGCTCTCAGGGTCCTGGGATCGAGCCCCCATCGGGCCTCTGCTCCCAGGGAGTTTGCTTCTCCCTCCCCTCTGCCTGCCACTCCCCCTGCTTGTGCATGCACGTGCTCTCTCTCTCTCTCTCTCTGTCAAATAAAATCTTAAAAAAAAATTAATCAGCAATTTTGCTGTAGAGATGATAATTTTTATATACAGGTATACCCATACTAATCTGTACTAGTGAATGCATTGTAAATATTAAACTATAATTAAAGTTTAAAGTCATAACCAGGTGAGATGATAGGTGTGGTGATAGCAATATGAATTGAATATAGGTTTGGGGGAGCTGGTATAGTGTTCTTTCTGTTCAGTCACTGAAAACAGAAAATGTCGGAACACAATTCACGAAATATCTGAAAACCTATGTGTAAGGCACTGCTGGGTGTTGCCTGGAATAGGAAAATGAGCAAGTCATTGTTCTTGTCCTCAAAGGGCTTATATTTGAGCAGTAGGGCTAGTTGAAGTATACAAATAATTATACTAGAAGACACAGCAAAGTCAGTCCCATAAGTAGAAATTAATTATTGTAGGTTTTCAAAGGAAGAAGAGATTATATCTAGCTTGAAAGAGTATGTGTGGTTAGATAATAGGCTTTGAGGAAGAGTGGGATTCCAGATGGAAATGAGGAAGTATGGTTCTCCAGGTTGAGGGGGTGGCTTTGGCAAAAGCACAAAGACAGGAGAGATGGCACAAATTTCTTATAAGACCAGAGTTACCCTCTTATTTGATGCAATTAGGGCCAATAGTTGGCCAACTAAAAAAATAAGTTAAAGATTTTTTTTTTATTTGAGAGAGAGAGAATGAGATAGAGCATGAGAGGGCGGAGGGTCCGAGGGAGAAGCAGACTCCCCACTGAGTGGGGAGCCCGATGCAGGACTTGATCCCAAGACTCCAGGATCATGACCTGAGCCAAAGGCAGTTGCCCAACCAACTGAGCCACCCAGGCGCCCTAAAAAAATAGGTTAGAACAGAGAGTCCTACAGATATTAGTTACACACAGACCTTAACCATTTGATCTTAAAGCATAAACATCTTTTTGCCATTCTTTAAAATAAGCCCTTTTCTTGGGCTATGGTCCCCAGGAATCTATAAACTACAGCATGAGGGCCAAACCTTGTCCTAGCCTTCTGCCTGTTTCTGTAAATAGTTTTATTGGAACACAGCCATGCTCATTTGTTGACATATTATTTATGGCTACTACTCTGATGTACAAGGTAGAGTTGAGTAGTTGTATGTATCTGTGTGACTCATTTTTATCTAGTCTTTCCAAAGCTTTCAACTTGGTTTTCATGGAAACAACTACCAGACAGTCCATGATAGTATAGTCGCTAAATTCTTAAGCTCTGGAGCCAAATTGTTTTGCCATTATTAGTTATACAGGTCTTGGGCACGTTGCTCAGTTTTCTCCTTTGGAAAATAGGGACAATGATAGTACCTAGTTTCTAGGGTTCTTGTGAAGATTATAGGAGTCAGTTCATGTAAAGCACTCAGAACAGCGTCTGGCAAGTAGCAAGTACTCAATATTAGCTGCTGCTGTTTTCCTCTTGTCACTTACACTTAATTTCTTTATATAATATTTTATTAAATTATACTCTTCCATTAATAAGCACAACTGGCATAAGTTGATTTATGAATAAACCTACCTGACACTTGATTAAGGACACAGCTTCCCTGAGGGAGAGAAAAAAGTGTTGATCCCATAATATTAGAGACTAGCCTAGTTAGTGTGTTATCATTTAAGTCAGGTAAGAGAATTCTGTGGGATCGTTTGCTCAGAGTATAAGACAACAGAACACATAGGGAAGTAGTGGATTAAAATTGAAAAGGAGACCAGAGCCATATTTGTCTTAACACCTTGAAAGCCAAGGGGATAAGTTTGTACTTAG